CCTCTCTCTGCTGATTTCTGATGCACTGAGGTAAAAATCAATCACAGTGTAATTTTCTCTTGTCTTGTCCCACAGAAGAAATGCATGATGGGTAGTAGTTTGTGCACTTGGTGCCCTTGAAAACTAATTCTTCTGAAGGTTTTTTTCCATGACAGTGTTTTAACTAAAATGTAGTTGGCACCAGTCTGTGACATTTCTTGCAGACTAATTGCACAGAAAATAAAGCTCATTAATAAAATACTTTATCCTAGAAAGCATTTGTACGATTGTAAGGCAGTAAAAACAGAGACATGACATGAAATGTACTGCTTTTTGCAAACTGTATAAGGGAAAAGTGTGTAAGACTGAAGGAAAATATTAAAAACAAGAATAAATAGAATTTTATTTTATTTATGTTCAACCATAAGGTACCAATTTGAAATCTTTACACCTACCACACGCCTAAAATAATGTTTTAAAAATGTTTTAAAAAGTGTCCAGGGTTAGATAAGCTAGGACTGCTGAAAAATAAGGGTTGTTTTTTGTTGTTTTTTTTAGAAAACTGTCAAATGTAAAATGGTTTTAATGTCTATGCCCTGTTGTTGCACACACAGCCGCCTCACTTATTCTCCAGAGCATACTTCCTCTCTATCTTTGTACAGTCCTGCTCAGGTCTTGAACGGTCAAAGCATCAAGCATTCCCAAGAGGGATGCCCAGCAGCGAGAGAGAAAGAGAGAGAGAGTGAGGGGGGGCGGGGGGGCAGAGAGAGAGAGATACAAAGAGAGAGAGAGATAATATGGGGCACTGAGGCTGGGAATGCAGACAGAAAATGACTCCCTGGGCCTTTGTTTGGGGTTTCCTGGTGAATTGGTTTCAGTAGATATTGGCGTAGTTCAAAGACTCTGAAGCAGAGGCACATGCTGACAAATGATAACAAGAAAGACAATGGTTGGACCAGAAGCATGCACTTAACACGCCCCAGGCTGAAGTGATTCAAATATAAACTAAATGTAAAAGTTAAAGGTCCAGTGAGTCTTATTAAGGTAAGTTTAATGGGAGATCATTATTTTTTTACTTTTATGTGTGTTTTTATAAGGGCATACTCTATTTAAACTAATTTACATCCTTGTCCATGCACACTGTATGAGGCCTGATTTTACAATATTCAGTGGCCATTAGTCCAGAAAAAATCTGGATCGACTGTAGTTAAACTTCAACATTGAGCAAAAAGGTGTCAAATAGTTCAGTATCCAATTAGACTTTATTTAGCTAATGCTAAAGGCTTGAGATAATTTGAAGGGGTCTTCATATGGCATCAGATTCCTGCAAGTCTTATTGCATTCACAGACGTTGACAGGTGAACTATTCTTCTTGTTAAGATTCTTAAACTATTTATTTTAACAGGCTTCTGTGGAAATAGACAAGGGCAGGATTCCAGCCTCCATAGAGCAAGGCTAAATGAAAGGGTAAGAAAACCAAGTCAAGTGTCTTTATTTGCACTGACCCTGACATGTGGGCTTCATGAATCAGAATAATCTGCAGGATCAGGACTAAGCTGCGGCTTGCAGCTCCAGCAGTGATGTAGTTGCTAAGACAAAGTCTCTGAGTAGCTTAGCAGCAGCACAAAAGTGAAATCATGATCAAAGATATTGATTTGCTCTTGATCGTTCAAAAGACCCAAGAGTGTCACCAGGGAATGAGTCTGGATTTTTCTTTGGCAGGAAGGTAAAATAAAACGGGGGCAGGTGAAGAATTAAATGACTGAAAAGATGTCTGACAGGCTCCTCCTCTCCCACACACAAGCAGACACTACAGTTACCTAGTACTAAATCCACATTCTCTTAAAAAAATAAACATATTTTAAAGCTAAATGTATGAATTTAACTGGTGTTCGCTCTCAAAAAATTCTCAAATTCAATTCGAAATCTTGGCCTAGATAGATAGCCTACAACTGTGAAAAGATGTGTGGCATTTAAAGTGGCAGACCGACTTATGATCAACAGATTAAATTTGATTATAGTCGCACATGTGTCATGCAGGTGCAGGTCTCCCACAGTAGACTGTAGGTTAACTGCTAGACCCAAAGAACGTGTTTAAGAAATGGACAGAGCCATCCGTAGCCATATGGGAAGCCCAAAACAGGAATTACTCGAACAGTTCTTAATTATACAAGTCTTGGAAATGTGGAGTACAAATGGGGCCACTTCTAACTCAATTTATACCATCAATAAACCAACTCCAGGAGAGTTAACGGTCTAAAAAATTAGTTTTAGGCCATCTCAAATGGAAAATGATGTCAATTTGGCAAAATTGGGAACTATTTGGAGGATGATAAACAAAAGGGCACAAAAGACCAGATGGGGGCAGATGTGGGATCAAATTTACAGCTGAACTGACTGAGAATTAAATTATGACACCAAGTCTCCCCTCGGATTAAAAGGTCTACAGGCTACTACAGTGAGAGAATATGTGAGGCCATGATTGTAAATAAGTGAGGCTACTTTTAATGATTTAAATTCAATGCAAATTTTACTCACTCTCAGGATTTCTGTCTGAACCAGGACAAGACCTTCTTCAGTCTGTCAAACAGAAAGGAACCACTCTGGGTGTGAATATAAAAAGGAATGTACAGTCTATTGACCCCAATTCTGTGGTTCTGTGGTTTTTAATTTTATGGCCAGATTTCTCTCAGCTCTGATTGTAATAGATGAGACGTCGACAAGGGAGCAGGGACACCTGGCTGCGGAGCCTCGGTCAGCACCGCTGTCCTGACAGGCTTGATGAATGCAGGCTGAGGAGCACGCAATTGTTCAACTACAATTTCTGCAGCCGCCTTGTGTGGGGCAAAAACAGGAAAAAGGTTTTGCATCATGCAGTGTTAATTTGGACAGGAAATTGTGATTTAGTCTTCATCTTGTGAATGGCATGTTGTTTAGTTTTGGTCATATATGAATCATTTGAAACCCTTAAGTCTTAGTGCAGTTTTAATCAACTAAATATAAGAATTTTAGTCAGGTACGTATATCTATGGTCAATTAAGTGAATCTCCAGAATTTCCAGTCGTTGGAAACATCCTGTGGGGCAGTGGTGGCTTGGTGGTTAAGGAAGTGGAATGATTCAGGTTCAGGTTGCCAAGTTACCACTGACATGCTCTGAGCATGGCACCGTCCCCACACACTGCTGCCTGGGCACCTAAGCACTGCCCCTGCTCACTATGGTGATGGGCTAAAAACAGAGGTCACATTTGGTTGCGTGTGCCGTGGTGTGCTGTGGCACAATGACAAATAACTCAAAATAATGTGCAATTCTCAATAAATAAATAAATAAATAAAACAGTGTTGGCTTTAATGCCATTGCACACAATCCCAAAGTAATATTCCTTAATGGTCAAGGAAGTCAACAAAAACTTGGCTCTCAGCACTGAAAATACAGCTAAACAGTAAAAATTTGAAAATAAAAACAAAACTCAACTAGATAGAAAATAGGTTTTGGTTGCACATAAAATGAAATATTCTATATATAAGTATCAATGAGTGGTGTTTTTCCGTGCAATTTGTACTGAGGGTCCTGTTGTCCTAGTTGTCATATGTGAAGTCACCCTGCATCATTATTTCTGTGTTTTCCATTTAAAAAACAAAGATCTCAGCCTCGACTCTGACTTTGAGGAAGTTTTGATTGACACTGGTTACATAATTAAAAAACAAGAAATCTATGTTGAAAAGGAAGCAACGCTTCCGCATTTCAAAGAAAAAAAAGAATGTGGCTTGGGTGTGTCAGCCTTTGGGTGTGTTTGAGTGTATGTGTGAGAGATAAAGCAATACAAGTTTTGTGTTTATATCCATATAGAGTAAAGGCAGAGGTAAGCGGCTGCTACAGTGATGAGATCATGAGGGGCTCATGTGGAGATCAAAGAAAATGTGTCATACCAAAGAAGCAGCAGCAACAACTGTATAATTACAAAGGCATTCTGAATGTACAATGCAGTGCAGTTCTTTACATTTCAAAGGATTATAAATAATTAACAGTGTGATGCAAATGAAGTGGGTTAATTGAGCAACTAACAGAGAACTTGAAATTAAATTAAAGGGATTTTTCTTTTCTGAAGTGGGCAAGGCACGGACAAGTGATCCAGCATTAACTGCAGTAAAAAAGAGATTCTTTATCACTTAACAAAACTCTCATGTACACTGGCATAACTCTGTCATATCAAATATAACATCTGCTGCAGTATCTGCTGATCAAACTGTGCCTTTCCAATATGAAAAGGTACTTTTGTTGCTTCATACACTAGTCAATCCCCCAGACAAAAGTCCATAGAGAAAATAAAAATATATAAAATAATGAATATCTGCTGCCTCCAAATATGATGGTGTTTCAAAGGTACATTATTTTTTTTCCCACAATTTCTCTACTGGCAGTCTTGATAAAGACTGCCCTAATGTTGGATACATACATACATTAAATTACAACTCCTCTTTTAAATTAATCACATCTGTTTTTTTAGTGTGTAATGTGTTGCAGAGTAAAATTTTATATTTATGAGAACGAGGGGTAGGCTCAATGAGTGTAGGATATACAAAGAAATCGAATATTAATGAAATTTAAAGTGCTCCTAAACACAGCAAGAGCTCTTTGAAAGTCAGCCTATCAAACAGGGCAGTATCATAACCATTCTACATTTTTAAAAACATTTTCTCATTTTTTATTTGATTTGTCTTCATTTCTTTTTAATGTAATTTATACCTTACTTTGAGCTTTTACGCTACCTCTAAATTATTTTAGGGTGATGTTTAGCTATTACATTCCAGCTACAATTAAGCTTCTTCTGGGGCTGATGCTCATTTACTTACATGGTGCTGACGGTAATTCAGCCTCATTTTCTGGTATTAACCCTAAATGTGAAGGTCATTTAATGTGTTGTTAATGGGACACAGTAATATTTATGGATGCAGTCCTCGTTAACTGTCCTGAAGGGGTTTGTGTGTGTGTGTGTGCGTGTTTGTCAATGCAAACCTCCTACCTCATTGCCGTACATCATGAGGTGATGTGTGGTGATAAGAGCCTTGAAGACAACCACCCAGCTAGAGTTGGCCGTGCGCTCAAACAGCGTGTCGGCCAGCTGGGGAATGCTCACGTTCATCTCATTGGTACAGTGGATAAGATCTGTCAACCGCATATGGAAAAAAAGACAGATAAAGAAAAAAACAAACAAAAGAGTGTTACTAAAGTTTGGCAACCAACAGTATCATCATAAAACAACTTTTATATAAATTAAAAGACAATGACAACAGGCAAAGGACAGAGAGACGAACACAGACAGCAGCTAAATTTCAAGTCAAACTAACGCTGCACCCTGAGAACGCTTATCATTTTTGTGGTCATCATTTAGCCCAAATATTAGCATTTAAACTATTCTGCTTTACCACAAGAATCTTAAAAAAACTAAAAAGTATGGGGAGACGTAGGATGTCACCATCTATTACATCATTGTTTCACCAAGACTAGGTTGCGGGTCGCAATAGGGGTTTTTTGGGTCTTTTTTGAGGTCTTTTAGCAGACTTCAACCCCCAGAAGCTCACCTTTGGTTTACTTCAGTAAATGTTGACCAGATACCAACACATTCCCCGTGTGCTGCGGTTCTCACCACTCTCGTTAGGATTGATTTTTCGATTATTTTGGTTTCTTGGGCCTAAAATAAAGATTTAGGTCTTCACTCACACACATCCAGATACTCAAGCACCGTCATCAATACGGACACACACTGATACATTGATCATTCACACCAAATAACAGGGTTTTTGTAATTTCTCTTCTTTGGGTCCATTTTCATTCTTCCATCATTTCTTCTCACCACATCTTTCATGTGCTTTGTTCCTCACCACAGGATATTGACTTGCCAGCTCATGCACATACCTGGTAACTAGGGAAACGGCTCCTTATTATACTGGTTGAGGACTGTAACCACCAGAGTCCTGATGTGAGTTTTTTTCTAAACTGTCAAGAGCATGTGCAAGTGCAAACATTTATTCAGTAACCAGTCATCTTTACCTCCAACTTCACACCCTTTTGTGCGTGATACAATAAACTTTTTTTTCCATTTCGGGGGGCATATTTGATGGAATTGTGATATTTATCATAATGTTTCCTGTATTACCTAAATATACAAATATAAATATTGGGTCATATAATTAGTAACAGCAGTTTGCATGATTTTCTGAGAGAAATACATAGTACACATGTAGCATTTTTTTGTATTATTGTTTACAGGGCAGTGGTGATTTTTGTTTAACTACTATGGGATTATTGTCATTTTTCTCATACTTTTCTATAATTCTCCTAATTCCCTGCCTGTCCTTCATATTAAACGGCCCTCTGTTTTTTTATCAAGCCTACAGAACTGTATACAGAGGACTAAAGGAAGGGTTGATTAGGTCTGCTGTTGCACATGTTTGTGTGGGAGTGATAATGTAAAGAGTACAACTGCAGACTTAATCAGCGGGAGGCACGAGATGCTACTGATCCCACACCAGCAAATGAGTTAAGGAAAGTGAGGCAACTGAGAGAAACATGCAGAAAAAAGAAAGCGGGAGGAGCAGTAAAGAGAGAAAAACAGTATGAAGGCTTACACACCAAGAGACTATGTAGACATGGCTTTATGGGAATCAAACTTGTGTCCTTATTTTTGTTTTCATCTGGGTCACTATGCGATTGACAGTTCACCATTTACACAACAACATCAATGCCATGACAAACGCTGAAATGCCTGCACTTTTTCATAGGTGAACAGGTCTTCCTTACAATGGAGTCAGAAAAACATAGTAACTGACAGAAAAGGTTGTTTTGTTGTCTGTCTAAAGTTTAAATAAATGGATAAGTGTGTCAAAAGGATATTTTGGGCTGCCATGAAAAAATCTAACCTCTGAAGACCATTCCTTAACAACCTTGCAGTCAAAAATGGAAAAACAGAACATATTTATGTTTATTCATAGATAATCAAGTAGGTTCTGTTCTACAGGGAAACTGAAATGATAAGAATACGGAACTAATCCAAAATCCATCCCGAAGAGATGAAGGGGAATATTTTAGCCCTTTTTTCTCTTTTCTCCAATGTGGTCTGTATCAGATTTTTATTTTTCTCTGGTAAAATGACTGAGCACCAGCTCATCACTAGAAGATGCTGACTGCACTGTTTCTCTCTGCGGAGCCATTTCTTTCTAGTCCTTGAAATTTATCGTGCTTATTCACTGTGTGCTCGATAGACACAGACAGGCTGTTTTCAGAATATACTTCCACGTTATTTCCAATGTTGTCCCATTTATTCTTAGCAGGTTTGTAAAACACCTTGCTGCATGGCAGCAAAAAATAAAAAAAGTGATTGACTTGAAGTGAGAAAAAGCAGAAGATCGAAGCAGGTAAAAAAAAATAGACACAGGGATCAAGTCAAGGAAAAAAGGAGAAAGAGACAGAAAAAGAGACCACAAAATGAGACATGAGGGTCTCTTTATGCAGACAATTTGCAAGAATTCACACACAGAGCTCCAGCAGCCTCCCTACCCACTTCATCTCTCAGCACAAACAGGTCTGAGGATGGATTTTTCTTCTTTTTCTGGCACAACCTGTGCAATTATTTTAACCACAGACGGAAAAATACATATGTTTCCTCCTATCAGTCATTAACCACCGGGCTCTGACCAACACCTCATCATATGGCTGCTTGGCAGCTGGCCAAATGGTTATTGAAGTCCAGCCAAGTCCTTTATTACTGTACTTCCTCATACAGTGGCCACAGCTGGCAGTAGGTGACGGGGCTTTGATTTGAAGCAGGCTGATGTTGGATTTCTAATTCCTTGTGTTACAGGCTGCATTAACCTGACATATACAGTACTTCATCAAAAACAAACACATTTGCCACCTTCATGTATACTCAAGAGAGATTATCATCATAAAAAGATCAACTGGAATATGTTGCTTTGACTATATTTTAATTTGTTTTTATAGGGAATTAAAAAACTTCAGACAAAATGTATACTTGAATCCGTAGTGAAGAAACAGACCTTTTGAAACCAGTGACGTGATACCCACAATCAATGACTCTGTCTATGTCTATGGTCAAATGTCTCATTAGTTTATAAGACATAAAAAACAAAGCATCTTGTCCTGTCTTAAAAATTGTGTTGAAAATGGCAATTTTTAACAGAGTTTTTGACAAAAAAAATCAAGATGCCTGAAAACTTAATTGCTACAAAGATATCACAGTTCAGAGTTTTAATTTGTACATCAACATTTCAAAATAAAAAAACAGATGTTTCGATGTTGTATGCCGCACCGCCACACTCTTGAGAAAATACAACCAGAGGTGAAGTTGTCATTGTTGTCTGTACCAGGAAGCAGTAACAACACCTGGACCTTGGTATCTCCCTCTGTGTTCATATTGTGTGTGTTAGAGGGATAGAAAGCAGGTGGTCAGATCATAGTGGAGACAGATGACATCTGCTCCAGCTGCTTGGTTTCTTCCTACACCCTCCTCTAGTCTCTTCATCCCTCTATAACAACCTCCCAAAACCACACCTGCTTCTAAGTAATACGCAATCACCGACGCATGCACTCTCACATACACTCCCAATCTCCTGATCTCTTTTCACTTTCATCCCTTTTTTCATCTCCTCTGATCTTCAGACAATCTTGCTACTTTGACGACTTCATTTCAGCTTCTCTGTCTGGTTCATGATTATGTTTTAACACCGTTCTTCTTCTGGTAGTCACTTCAAACCTCTGCTCTGATTTGATCAAGGTTGAGATCAGAAGATAAAACTATGGTGTCAAATCTGGCTCGGCATTTGAACTATATATCAATTAAAATTAAAAAAAACATCAATCCTGTCAAATAAAAAAGTCAAAAAGGCAAAGTGGTTTTATTTTTATTTTATTAAGAACCAAGAAAGATGTTTTTGTTTGTGGCAAATGGTTGATTTTTTGTGAACACATCACAGGATCCCTTTGCAGTCATTCGTCATCCTTAAAGTGGAGACTTTTAAAATGTTGCTGGTTTGAAGGTTTTTTGAACACAGAGTGTTGACGACAGCTGTGCAACTGAAGCTAGAACCATCAATCAACACTGTCAGCTGTTTGTTGCGATTTCTCCAACCTGAGAATGTGTGGCTTCTCACTATATATAAACTGAAAAACTCCAACTAAAATTTGAAACTTTTACAATATTCAAGACAATTCTGGAGCAAAACTATCTAGTTCTAATTCACATTAAAACAGGCACAAAAAAAAATCTTCCAAAAAAAATCAATGCAGACAAACAACTACTAACTACAAACACACTGCCAAGAGTCTTTCAAAGAAAGTCTTAGACCACTGATATAGTAAATTAAGGGATAGATTCATGCTTTTTTTTTTTTTTTTGCTTTTTTTTAGTTTAACAAAGACCAAAAACATCGCTCTAAATCTTTTTTCTGGCTTAATGGTTAGCGACAGAACAACTCTCCCACTCAAGAGCTTTCCCACCATATCGGCCGTCAAGATGAAGGACAATGGATTAGACAAGTTGAACACGCAGTTCTAAACACTCCAGAGAAAAATGAGACTGTCAAGGTTTAATGAATGAACATGAGTGGTGCCCAAAATGCCCTTCACTTAAAATTCTACACAGTTATAGTCACGCAGCAGCAGACGATTAGACGATTAAAAATGTTGCAAAAACAGCAATGTAGGTTGTGTAGAATTCCTCTCCCTGAAATACAATTCATGACTCTCCAGTTGTATTGGTGTCAAACTTCAGATTAAGACTTTTATCTTGCTTGCTTACAGCATAGCATAAAAATAAAACAGATATTTCAAACCAAAAATTTGGGTTTTTCGTGGTGTGATATGGTGTGACAAAAGTCCTAGCTACAAGAGTAAGGCGCTGCAGAAAAGTTAAGGAACCACTTCTGTAGGCCAACACGTAAACAGAACTGTTGGCCAAAGCAAACTTTGAAGGACAAAGGATTGAGTGGATTTTCACGAAAAGACTACAGACAGTTTTATATTTAAAAAGAAAATGCTGGAGTAAATCTGTGGTATCAGAAAATGTT